AACACCCTGGGGTCCGCCATCGCCCACGCTTCCCTGGCCGTCCGAGGTGGGCGTCTGCACCGGCGCTTGGGGGGCTTCTGGCCGGCTCGGGGCGGGCTGGGGCTGCCCACAGCACCATCACCCCCTGGGGTAAGATCTCCTACGCAGCGATTTGGAGGGATATTGCCTTTCTCTCCTCACTCTAAACCCCCTGATTCATACCCTGGTTTGCCCTCTCCTGTCCCTTCCGCTGCTCATCTGAAGGTCTGAGCCCAGACGAACCCCGATCCCACCACGTGCCAGCCCGTGCCCCCGCTGGCCTCTCCCCAGCCTTCCTGCCTTTGCTGCCCGTGATTGAATTCCCATTTCCCAGGGGCTCCGCTAAAACGCACAGGCACATCCTCTCCCTCTGCCTCTCTGGGAGCAGAGGGCCGGGCGAGCCGGCAGCACGGAGGAAGCGCCGGGTGCCCTGTGTGCCCTCTGCACGTCTGCTGGCGTTCTGCTGCCAGGCACGCTGGAGGAGAAGCAAATAAAAGCCTGGGGCTGGGGCCAGGACGGTGGGGGTCGATACAGAGCAGGGTTCGGGGGGTGTTGGCGCACGTCAGTGTGCGCGAAGCGTGGGGCCACGCTCGCAGCATCCTCTGACATGGCACCGTGCTGCCCAGACCCACGGGGTCTTTGGGGGCCGTGCTTACAGCCAGGTGGGGACGCCGTCCACCTTGCTCTGGCTGCCTTCATCTGCAGAAAATCCGGTTTTCTTGATGCACAAATGATTGAGATGGGAAATAGGAAACTGCCCTGCTTTCTCAAGGGAGAGCAGCGCCAACGCTGCGGCCCCTGTTCCTTTAGCTCCAGGGGAGCCGCACCGGGTGCGGGGCAGTCTGGTTGGTGTCGTTAATGCCCACGAGCTTGGTGTCACCACCCTTGATGCCAGCGTGCTGGATGACCCACACTCCGGCACCGCCGTTGTCCGGACCAGCATCAGCGGCATCCCACCTGCTGTTGGTAGGTGGTCACCTCTACCCTCACCCCAGGGAGGATTTTGACCTCTGTCGGTTGAAAATCTTGGGGGAAAGACTTTTATTCCCCCCCAAAAAAAAGTAGCACCCCCTGTCTGTGCTGTGCCCCGTGGGCAAGGGGAGCTGGGGTGGTTGGGGAGGACTGGGTGCCCCCTTAGGAGGGTGCTGCCTCCATGGTGACACCCTTTCCCCTTCACCCCCAGGGCCCCTGATGCGGGTGCTGGTCACCATCATCGCCCCCGTTTACTGGGCCTTGTCACACACCAGTGGGGAGGTCCAGAGCGGGTTCCTGCTCACCCAGGGCACCTTCCGGCACGAGTCGCAGCTGGAGTTTGCCACAGGTGAGGGATGGATGCCATGGCGTGTCGGGGGCTGCGGAGCCTGGTCCTGCCCGGCTCATCCTCCGTCTCCCCTGAGGACTCAGCCTATCACTGGGCTGAGCTTCACAGCTGGAGATGGAGCTGTGTTTGGGGGTGCCGTGGGCTACTGCTCACCGCTCCCCCCCCGGCAGGGGAGCTCCTGCGGGTCACCCACCTCGCCCGGGGTGTGGATGCTGCTGGTGCTCTGCTCCTGGACAGCGTGATCAGCGGCTCCGTGCCGGAGAGCATCGGCGAGGCTGCGGTGCTGCTGCAGGTGCCGGCACTGCCCGCCCTCCCCGCGTGGCCATGACACCCATGCTGGGAGCCTTTGGGGGGGTCCATGGCCTGAGCCCCCTCTCTCCCCCCCCCCTCCCAGGACTTCAGCGAGCGCTATGTGCAGACAGACGTGGGGCGGCTCTCGGGGGGCTCAGTACAGAGCTTCCTGTGGGATGGGCACATCATCCGTGCCCGCTGCAATCACACCATCGTGTACCACCCCCCCGCTGGCCCGCAGCCCCCCCGGGTGCAGCACGTCCACGCCAGCGCTGTCAAAGCCTCCTACGACCCTGCCTCAGAGGAGCTGCGCTTCCAGCTCCGTGCCTCACTCGATGCAGGTAACAAGGGGGTTCCCAGGGATGGGGATGGAGATGCCGGGATCCCCTGTCCATCCTGAGTGGCTGTGAGGGTGCAAAGGCCACTCCCTGCAGTGACATGTCCCTTGTTTTCCTCTCTGCTTGTTTCCCAGGGGCTGATGGAGACCGGTGCCCACCGGGATTCATCCGTGGCCTCGGACAGCCGTACTGCATTGGTACGGACCCTTCCCGTGGCGGGCACGAGGATGGGGAGGGGACCTGCTGCGTGGTGACACCTCCCTGTCCCCTTCCAACCCTGTCCCCTCTCTGCTCGCCAGACATTGACGAATGCGCCGAGGGGTCCCACGCCTGCCGCTACAACCCGCTCTG